GGATACTTTGAAAATGTATCACGCTACAATACAATATACTCGGACAAAAAGTATTGGAGATACAGACACAGGATACTTCTGCAAAAATTGTATTCGATACGATACTTGCGAATAGTATCTTAAGATACTTTGATACTTTCGCAAATTTGTTGTTATAGACCCCCAGAATGTACTAGGGAACGCATGTGCACAAAAACGATGGCTTTAAGACATCTAAAATGTGCCCAATTTCATTTTAATGAAATTTTTATTGGTATATGAAAAATTTTGTTTCATAGTTCAATAGTTTACTTCTGAGGAACGTATTCTTTTCTTCCCTTTTGTTTACTTCCTTGCTATTATGTTTCTGAATATGGAGTACCAACTAGCCCAGTCTGCCACCCTTTCTTTGTAGACAATTTGCTGACAGTGCTTCTTGCTTGTCAGTTCTGGAATTCCTGGGAGCCACTGCTGAGCTTGCCGACCAGCTAGCGAATCGCCACACGAGCTTCAATTAGAAGCCTTCTCACGATGGTGCAAATACCAGTGTGTAGTTTCAGCTTGTTCATAAAAGACCGTCTTGCAATGCCGAATCACTGGTGTACAGCAGCAAAATTGCTGGTAACGATATTTTTTATGGAACATTGCGTATATAGAAAGGCCTGCATAGAGCGCATAAGGCTACTATTCCTTTTTTTATTCTGAATATCTGCTGGCATAAATCGTTCATTATCTATATACTCACTAAGGTGCAATCAATTTTCTTGAGCGAGAAGACGTGTGTACCTCATAAACGCCTCAGACCTACTGTGTTGTCACGTGATGGTGATCCTGAATAAAGTGCCAGTCACTCTGGTAAGAATTAAATTCCCCATAAGCTAACTTGCTCCCAGAAAACTATGCAATTAAATGTACAAAGGAAGTTCACTGTACTCTGATAGCGACATTAAGTGTTGTAGGCCTTCGGTAATCTGAATATTGGCAGAACACGTCTCGTATTTATACAGCAGTGATCGCACCTTCCAGTGTTATCGCTGTTGCACACGTAAGCTCGCGAATTCGTAAGAATACGCGTAGTGCGCGTAATCTGAAAAATAATAGTTCAGCTTTTATGTCCAAAAACTGAGATATGATTGTGAGGACCGCAGAAGTGAGGGATCCGGAAAATTTGACCATGTGGTATTCTTCAACGTGCAATCAAATTGAAGTGCATGTGGCTCTAGCATTTCACCTCTATCGACATGCGGCTGTCGCAGCAGGATTTGCGCGGAATCTTAGCCGCACAATCTGCGACAATCTCAAAGTTTACGAAACATTGCAGGTGGCTTGCGCCGAGCGGTCATAAGTTTTTTGTGTCTTAGACTCGATAACAACCAAACAAAGAAACAAAAAATAGCGCATGGCGACACAGTCACACACACGTTGTCACGGGACAATACCGCTTACAGCCGCCCATAGCTACGATTATCCGGCAGTTAGTAATAACAAGAATAAAAATAAAAATAAAATAGGGTAGACTAACAAAGGAAAGCAATTACAACCAAAATAGAAAAGTCGTTCTGTTTCAAGCAGTCATTGTGAATAAATCGAGATACCCGATACAGGTGGCGCTCCTTATAGCTATGGCAATTAATCATGAAGTATCGTCAAAGTACCTGTCAAAGTAAGACAATAAAGAAATTGGTGCCTATGAAAAATTACTTTAAATGACTTGTTGGGACGTTCATAACAAAAGGAAAATTTGACCTAACAATGTTTCTCGAATACCTCTTCCAAGATCTTTCCGGTAGCTCCTAATTATTGCCATTAATATTATTAACTGAATTTGGTCACTTTATGAAGCATTAAGCAGAATGTTTGGAGATGTATAATGCCTGCCCACAAAAGACGTATTTGTTTCCGAAATTGCCTTGCCAGAAGAGCAAACCTGAAGGAATATAAATGTATAAGTAATAGAAGAAATGAAGCAGACAAATAAAGTTAAGGATAAAACAAAAGGCATATTGCATTCACGAGACCGAAAAAAAAAACCGTTCACAGCACTAGGTGAATATGTGATGCAAGCGAAGAACAAATGAGAAAGCACTACTGCTTGCCCCGTCGCGGTGGTCTAGTGACTAAAGTACTCGGCTGCTGACCCGCAGGTCGTGGGTTCGAATCCCGGCTGCGGCGGCTGCATTTCCGATGGAGGCGGAAATTTTGTAGGCCCGTGTGCTCAGATTTGGGTGTACGTTAAAGAACCCCAGGTGATCGAAATTTCCGGAGCCCTCCACTACGGCGTCTCTCATAATCATATGGTGGTTTTGGGATGTCAAACCCCACATATCAATCAAAGCACTAGTGCTAACAATCCTATTATAATTTCAAGAGCTCTTTCAATAGAAACAGCAGGGGAAAAGCGGCATAGACCTCCAAGATATCGTCTGATAGGTAAGTACTTGTTATTTTAGATACAGCATCAGTGCCAGCGGTGCTATAGTTCACTGGAAGCGGCACCAGAATTGGTGCTGTCATCACCGCACGCACTGAGGTACGCGGCGCTTTCAAGTGGCCAAAGCTAAGTTTCATGGCTCTGACGCAACTACCGAGGGAAGAAATTTCGAAAACAAAAAGACTATGCAAGCCCTGCTTCACCGAAACAGACGCGCACACCTCATCGCCTACCCTGACTGTCGGAGTGGGACGAAAAGATAAATTTCATTGCCCTTAGTTTTATTCAGATGGCTTAGTGGCACCAGCACTAGCCTGAGCAGCGGAGTTAGGTCAGCGATTATTGTTTTACTAGGTATAGCGTTCCGACAGCTGTATTTTGTATCTTAAGATACACGATAGATACATTGTCGAATGTAACGGAAATACAGGTAGAGATACTCATCTACGTATGTATGTAACGGAAACACAGATAGAAATACAGATAGAGACGTATCGTGATACAGATGCAAGATACTCATTGATTGATATGTGAAATTTAACGTCCCAAAACCACCATAAGATTATGAGAGACATCGTGGTGGAGGGCTTCGAAAATTTAAACCACCTGGGGTTCTTTAATATGCACCCAAATCTGAGATACAAGATACTCAAAGAGTATCTAAGATAGTATTTCAGATACATGTATCTTCGATACTGCCCCATCCTGGTACGTACAGTTACAGGTTGGAATAAAGCTTAGAGCGGAAAAAGAAAGAAGCCGGACAAGTAAGAGAACACATACACCATCTAGCACCCACTCACAACTATAAAAGTATCGCACGTGTTAAAAAAAAAGAAGTATCTGAAAAATTGGGGTGCAGCGTGTGTCTTTATAACACACGCATCACCCCCATGCACAAAAGTCAAACAACAAAGCTGTGTGTTTACTGTTGATTAATGAAGCTCACCTTCTCTATCACTACATGACAAGAAATTTGACTTGGACAGATTGCGATGTTATTTGTGACATGATATGCCTCCAAAATTTCTTGCGTTGTTGAAAGCACAGTGACAAAATCACTGCTTTTGAAGATGGAATTACATTTGCATTATTGACTTAGAGAGGCAAGATCATAGGGTCCTTTCAATGGACTTAGATGCTTGCTGAGAAGCATGTTAATACCTCAACTTGTTCAATGTGCATGTGGGAAAAAGAAGGATAATTGCACTTAACTTGTGCACAAATATTGATGATACAATTGACATGCCTTTGACCGCATTTTTCTTTGCACACTGCAAACCTTTGCGATCTTGTGTGCACTACGGAACAAATGTGGCTAAACTTATTTGGGCAAACAAACGCTACTGTATAGATTTCCAAGTCACTTCGATATACATTCTTCACTTTGTGCCACTTCATATACATACATAGAATAACTGTGATATTTCTAGTTGCTTCATTTTTTACTGGTAGCAGCAGACACAGTGCTTATCTTTATTTGCCATGCGAACAAATTTCAGCAAACTGATGCAACGATACGCAGGATACCCTGCCTTTTTGTGGCGATCAATTCACAGCTGGAAACTACTGCTTATCTTATGTGCGCAAGTTTTTTTTTCCCCCGATGCCATGCGTAAGCATGATGCCACAGTTTCTTGTTTAACAACATTCGAATACGCCGGTGTAAAATTAAACACCGTGGTTTTGCTGTATTCGGACTATGGGCACGCAAACATACTCACAGTGAAGCAAAGGGATAATAAAGAGCAAAATGATTTTCCACGCATTAGTGTAGTACAATTTTACAGTGCTGAAAACACCACTCCTGCTGCAACAGGAGGCGTGGTAAGCTAGAAAATGCATGAAAAAAAATTCGGGTGGAGACGCCACCTTGAAATTCCCACACCAAGTCATCTTGATGTCATACATTTAGAAGGCAACTAATGGATCCTATGTGGCTTCTAATCAATAAAAATAAAGTACATTGACATCTGTGTCTGCCAGAGACCTTGAATATGAAGATTTAAAATATTTCATTGAGCCAATGTAGTGAAAATACGAAAATAAATTAGGAAATTTTCAATGTAACGCACAGAGATTTCAGTTTGTCAACATCAACCAAGTCATTGTTCCTCTTTAGTGTCCCTTTATAAACATGTACCAAGAAACTGCAAGTAGATTCTACCTCGCAAGTAGATTCTACCTCGAACCTCGCAAGTAAATTCTAGTCCCATCCTTTTTTTTTAGAATGAGCTCACTTATTTCCTTCCGACGAACAATTATTTTGAGATGCACCGATTGTTGCGCTTGAGTGGGCTAGGAGCATAGGGTTAGGAATTTCTTGATATTTGTAGTGTTTGGCCAATCAGAGTGTTTGTTATTGTAGCCAGTCGATAAATGTTTCGTGTTCGTGCCTGAGGGCCCAGAACCACCACAATATGCAACTCAAATGTGTGATTATTGATAAGTTTCCGATAGACTAACATTCCATCATATTTGGCACCACACTACACTTTTGTAAACAGTACTACAATAAAGTTGAGAGTACGACAGAAGCCCACCAGATCAGATGACAAATATTAAAAGGAAAGAACAAAAAACAACACACCAAAGGATTACAGATGATGCTTCGACTACTCCACAGAAGTCTCTCCGAGTGAGTAAAAACCCAGCTTAGAGCACGGTTTCTGAGTATGGAGCATGGCGTGATTGCTCGCTGCAATTAAGAGCAATTGGCAAGACTTGGACGAACGATGACTCCAAATGAGTATGCATTTCCTTCCTGGCAATCATGTCTTCCAGTGTGCTCCTCCACAGTATGCAGTTGCGCACTGTTTGGCCAGGGCATTCAACGCAATGAGTCATTACAGAGATTCCTTCTTTGTTCAGTGTCTTGGCCCCTTTCTTGCAGTACTACAGCCATGCAAGGCAAACCAAAAATTAAGCCAAGACTGTGGTTAATTTTGCTAAAATTCTTTCTGAAATTTATGCCACACAAGTATGAATCAAGGCTAAATTTTTAGAAAATTTTATCTTAAATGTGAAATGCAATGAAAAAAAAACTTTTCACATGACTTATTAAAAATCAATTTCCTTAGTTCTACTTCTGGCTCAAAAAATGAAGCATTAAAAACAAAAAATCACCATGAAGTATTGTACTAGTTTTTCTCTGTTCTTGCAAGCTTTACGGAAAGAGTTAGTACAATGTGAAAATGAAAAGGGGGACTAACACCTAAACAGTGGATGGAACAAGCTCAGAGCCCGGCTCACCATCTTTATCATCTTGTTCAAATGCTGCGTGTAGTATTTTGCAAAAAAGCCCTTTGAGCCAAAGGCAAAGATCGTTGCACTGCTCAGCGAAAAAGTAGCATCACTTCGAGAAAAAGAATCGGGTGACAGAAAATGTGAAAGAGAGGAGTTTGAACCCTCTTGGTTTGCGAACATTTCCATTTTTTTCTCCCTTAAATGAATCTCAAATGGGTGATATCACACTGGCCGAGAGAGCTCCAAAAACATCATACATGTTGCAACTATTATTCAACACAATAGTACTATGCATGCATCTCTAACTGATTACACCCATCGTTTAAACAATATGCCATATTTGGGCATTATAGAGCAAAAAAGTTGGTACCTTCTATGAGCAAATTAACTGAATGCATTCGACTAAGTTTATGCAAATGAGGTGTTCACAAAAAATACGCCACTGATTGAAATACGCTATCACTAGTTGTGCCTTGAAACGCTGAGTGAGCACAATTAAAGCTGTAGTTGGGGCGAAGAGAAGCCTTAAGGGATAAAAAATCTGAACAGGGGGTGTCGGTAGAGTAAAAATTATGACTTCCAGTCTTCGTTTTCAGGGCAGCTGCCTTGAAAACAAGACCACTTGTCACAAAGTTGGCTTTAGCAGCACCCCCTATTCAAGAATTTTTTATCCAAGTGAGTGCCGTACCTTAACACTTTTGCTGACGTTGGCATGGGTTAATGTGAATGATGTTATAAAGTTGTTGCATTTACTCAGCTTGCAACTTTTCGGCTCTTTAGTTTTCTTCAGTTGTGGTAGCTGCTACGCCACATTTATGTCACTGCGGTGGATTTAAAGTGGCTGTATAAAAGAGCAACAAAGGAGTAGCTAAGGTATAAAATCAGGCTAGTTGGTTTGCCACAATGGTATAGTCAGTACAGTGAAATGTGTAGTTATTTGCAGGTTCTCTTGGTTTGCACTGTGTGCCTTGCTACACCCATGCTGATTGCATTTTCAACTCTCTACATATCGAGCGATTCAAGTCCATTCTTTTGTATATCAACACAGTGTTGCAGCACATGTGATGCAGAGATAGCTCGAGCAAATGTTGGGTGCAGTTGACGTTTTCAAATGGCAGTTCTTTGTTTTCCATGTAACCTGAAGCCAACCTGTCAGCAATAATTTTCACATCCAGCTGACTGACATCATTGCTACCTCTTCATCGACAAGGACAACATCTTCAAAGTGAATGCTCGAGGCACAGTGCAAGGAACACCAGCAATTTCGTTTCAAAGACAGACAAACTCGCCATTGTCTACAACAGTGCTCATGGATTTGGTAAATTCGATATACCCAAAGTACAAATAATTACAAAATGTACATTTCACATAAATAATGATACTACAACTTTGAATATAAATATAAAGCAGAATTCGTTGTACCTGGGCTCTCTATGATCAGATGTGACAGTAGTGCTAAAGAGACAAGAACAAACAAAAGCAGCACATATACCAAAAGTCATTATTAAGAATGTTCTTGTATTTTCATCATGGAAGGTCACAATATTAAAGGTGTAACAAGCTGGGTGCAATGCATTCTTTAACACTACTTCTGAGTGAACTGAGGAATTATGCAAGCAGAATAAATCAAAGACGACTCGGAAATGAAAGACTGCTGGTGCTGCAACAGTGAAATTCCTGAATCGGCTCGCTGCAATTTTATGGACTGACAATACCTGTCCTCACTAGTTAAGTTGTAGACAAGTCTACATTTTGGCTATTTCGATGAAACAACTCCAGTTAGAAAAAGGATCATTGAAAACAAGGACAGAGGGAGGCATTTCGGTGGGAAATATTATGGCCAAGAAGTAATGTGCAAGGTTTACTGTATGGCTTGAATTTATGGGAACACCGGTCAACTGGTATTTTCAGAAACTGCAAGAAGCAGCCTTATGTGGAAGTATGAGCTATTTACTGTTTATCTCTATGAATTTCCTGTAACTAAGCTTGGCCAAACTATTCACAGCTCCTTACTAAACCAACTAACACAATGTCTATTAAATTAAAGGGGCTGCTCAGGACCCTATCAAGGGACACAAGCCTCACACTAACATTTCAGCTCGTGGTCTGGTGCTCTGAAATGTACAACATAAATTATGACACTGACTGAGGCATTATATTTCCCTCTGAATGATGCAATGAGAAACTATGGCATATCATGCATGTAAAATATTAAAAACACAGAGTTTCACAAATAACTAAGATTTTGATAATCTAGGTGAAGTCAAATACAAACAAGCAATATACTAGTAGTTACTAAATGCTTACCTTTTCGGTGTCATTTGAGAGCTCTTTCTACCAAGAAAACCATAGATTGGACCAAGCAATGTGCTTCCTGGTGTGAAGAAAGAAACAGAAAAACCAATTGGAGGATACGCTAGACTCGCCTTAACAAAAGATCCACTAAATTTGCCAGCACCACTGTGAACGAGTAATTTGTGGTGCACGAAACATCTGCATGCATTTTGGAATGGGCAGCACAAAAAGCGAGGAAACTGGACGTACTAGACACTGCACAGCACTGATTATGTGATATGATGTGTAATACTCCTCATGCCCCAATTTTTTTTGTGCCGTCCGCTCCAACATACATTATCAATTTTACCTAACCCAAATGACAATTCTTCTGAGACATCTGGAAATTAATGCCTGAATGCATTTTGCCCAAACCACACATTTCCTGTGGGATGGATACTAATAAGTATAGATTATATACCTGTAAAAGCAGACTGCATAACAGCAGCAAGGATTGGACAAAAAAGGCTGATAAGCAAAACAGTAAAAAGTTTTTTTTTTTTTGGATAAGATTGCTAGAAACAAATGCAGTGATGCTACCGAGGTCTGCTGATTTAGAGCAATTTTTGGAACTGAAATGTTACATTTTGGAGTACTTTGGAGCAGAAAAATCTGCATTTTGGAGCACTTTGAAGTAGCAAAATTTTCAATTTTGGAGAAATCCAGAGCAGGTAACTTCACATCCTTCAGGAGAAGCAAGTTGCATTTACATTCAAGGACATTAATAATTATTTTTGGGTTCTTGGGAAGAGCTAGAAATATTTTATTTGATTGCAAACCTTATAGAACCAAATCATTTTAGGAGCACTCCCTATCTCAGTTGATGATGCAGAATGTCATGCTGTTGAGCATTCTGGAAAAACTTGTTCAGTGACTATTTTCATAGCAAATAGACAGAATACTGATTGAGTAAAATAGCACATCCCAAATCCCAGAAAATACAATTTTATGGGACGAAAATTGTAATATTTTGACCCTAAAAATATACTCTGCTATATAATTTGAACTGGACTGATCCTCTAGCATGCACCTGACCTCAATGGGGGGTTAAACAATGGTTCTGATAGTAGCAGCAGCATATAATTCTCCTGCATTTTACCGTAGGTGTGCATGTGTTCTTTGTGCCTCCTTTTGTCTTTGTGCCAAGTTTGCAGTCTGCACTGCAACCAGCTGCTTGAGGAACAGTGAATGCATTAATCACACATCATCATCTTCAATTGTTTTCTTTTTGCATGCCCTAAGAAGATTCTAGCACAATAACGGATACGCTCACACGGTATAATGATGGCTTTTATCCTATTATAATGCGCCCTGCCACGGTGGTCTAGTGGTTAAGGTACTCGGCTGCTGACCCGCAGGTCGCGGGATCAAATCCCGGCTGTGGCGGCTGCATTTCCGATGGAGGCGGGAAATGTTGTAGGCCCGTGTACTCAGATTTGGGTGCACGTTAAAGAACCCCAGGTGGTTGAAATTTCCGGAGCCCTCCACTACGGCGTCTCTCATAATGATATGGTGGTTTTGGGACGTTAAACCCCACAAATCAATCCTATTATAATGCATGCCTTTCTTTCTTTTCTTTTTAGGCTTTTTAGGCAACATTTTGTCCAAACACTCCTTAGGCTGCGGGATTTGAGATAGAATACCAAAGCAGCGTTCACAGTAACCTAGTTGGGACCAACCTTACTAATGTTTATTACCATCAGCGTCGAAAGGTGGCGACCATAAAGGGCAAGTTCAAGCAAATGAAAACAATTAGACACCTTTTGAGTCTAACGAAGAGTGCACTTTCAAGCGAAAATTTATATTACTTATTGAGTTAGTGGCAAGAAGCTGCCTGACATATTCTCGGCATTACAGAGAATCATATGTATAACAGGACAGACAAGCAAAGTGGTCCATCTGATATGTGTTAACATCCCATTCGAGGTTACTGAGAAGTCCTTCGATCAATGGAGGACAGTAAGTGTGCTGGCAGTTGTATGTAGGACATATTTTCTTCTTTATAGTGCTGAAGTGCTGCATAAGAGGGTTGCATAACATAAAATGAAAATTTTATTGTTTTCTGGCTTCACGTTTTCTTATTACCAGAAGAAAAGATGGGATAGTGTATTTCCTGCTCAAAAAGTCATGTTTGTCTGCCAAGTTTAGACAGTGAACTGCAATTTGCACCCTTTCAACACATAATATATTGTTACAAGACTACATCACACCTTCATGGTGCTAAGTATTTTTACTCCATCGACCTTCGCTCAGGGTACTGGCGAATTTCTGTCGACGACATGGACCGCGAGAAGACTGCTTTTGTCACCCCTGATGGTCTTTACCAGTTTAATATTATGCCATTCGGATTATGCAATGCTCCAGCCACCTTCGAATGAATGATGGACACTCTCTTGCGCGGGTTCAAGTGGTCAATTTGCCTATGTTACCTAGACGACGTCATTGTGTTTTCCCCGACCTTCGAAACACATCTCGACCGCCTTTCTTCCATCCTTTCTGTTTTTCATAACGCAGGACTGCAATTGAACTCATCGAAGTGCCACTTCAGACGCCAGCAAATAACCATGTTGGGCCATCTTGTGGACTCCTCTGGCGTACGCCCTGATCCTGATAAAGTTCGAGCTGTGCAAAACTTCCCCATCCCGACCAGCACTAAGAAAGTCCGCAGCTTTTTAGGTGTATGTTCTTACTTCCGACATTTTGTAAACAACTTTATGAACGTGGCCCGATCTCTTACGTACTTTCTGAAGAAAGATGTGCTATTCTCTTGGGGCGCTGCGCAGGCTTCGGCGTTCTCCAACCTCATTGTATTGCTCACACCACCACCTATTCTGGCCCATTTTGACATGTCTGCCCCGACAGAAGTCCGCACTGATGCCAGCGGTCATGAAATTGGTGCTGTTTTGGTCCAGTATCAAAACGGCTGCGCCCGCGTTATTGCATATGCCAGCCGTCTGCTATCTGCGGCCGAGCGGAACTACTCTATCACTGAACAGGAATGCCTTGCTCTAGCTTGGGCAGTTGGCAAATTTCGGCCCTACTTACATGGTCGTCGTTTCACCATCACAACTGATCACCACGCCCTCTGCTGGCTCTCGTCGTTAAAGGATCCCACTGGGCATCTTGGTCGCTGGGCACTACGGCTCCAATAATATGACTACTCAGTGTCTTACAAATCTGGCCGTTTACACCATGATGCTGACTGCTTGTCCCGCCATCCAGTGGACCCTCCTGAGACTTTAGATGAAGCACCGCCATGTGTGCTCTCTCTCTCTGCTTTGAGCAACATCCGTGATGAACAGCGCCGAGATCCCGTCTTGCATGACATTATTGAAAAGCTGAACTCTCCAACGCCCCATCCGTCTACTTGACTGTTTGTACTTAAAGAAGGCACCTTGTACCGCTGCAATGTCAACACAAATGGGCACTAACTGCTCCTTGTGGTGCCTTCTCACCTACATTCGAGTGTTATCACCCAGCTCCATGATGCCCCCACCGCCGATCACCTTGGTCTCGCTCGGACTTACGACTGCGTTCAGCGTCGATTTTACTTGCTCAGGCTTTATCACTCTGTGCACCGCTGTGTCGTCGCATGCGACCAGTGCCAACGTCGGGAAAAAAACCCCTATGAGTCCTGCCGGACTCCTCCAGCTACTTGATCTTCCTATTGACCCCTTCTTTCGAGTTTGTCTTGATCTCCTAGGCCTTTTCCCTCAGTCTACTTCCGGAAACAAATCGATAGCTGTCGCTATGGATCATACAACCCAATACGCCGTCACGCGGGCTTTGCCAACCAGCTGTGCCGCAGATGTTGCCGATTTCCTTCTGTACGATGTCATCCTCCATCATGGTGCTCCATACCAACTCCTCACTGATCGTGGACCCTATTTTCTCTCCTGAGTTATTGACGACCTGCTTCGCTCTTGCGAAACCAAACATAAATTTACGATGGCCTACCATCCACAAACTAAGCTTACCGAACAATTCAACCGGACTTTAACTGACATGCTCTCCATGCACGTCTCCTCTCAATGCACGTCTCCATGCACCACCTAGACTGGGACGTTGCATTGTCATTTGTCATATTTGCATACCATTCCTCACGCCACGATACCGCTCGGTTTTCACTCTTCTATCTCTTATTTGGCTTCGACCCAACTCTACCTTTCGACACCATTTTTCCGACAGCTATCGATTGGCCGACTGAATAGGCCTGTGACACTATCACCAGAGCTCGCAAAGCACAAGAAGTAGCTCGGAAGCGCCTCTTAGCATCGCAAAAGCAACAGAAGCAACGTTACGACGCACATCATCGTGACGCCTCCTTTTCCCTGGGTTTCCTTGTGTTGTTGTGGACACCGACTCGGCATGTTGGTCTTTCTGAGAAGCTGCTTTCCCGGTACTCAGGACCCTACCGCGTCTTGCGCCCGCTGACCGACGTTACCTACGAGATAGCCCCGCTGAATTCGTCACCTCCCTCTGCTCCATCGTTTACAGACATTGTTCATGTCTCCCGACTTAAGCTCTACCACTCCGCAACACCATAGAAAGCACCGAGACGATGCTTCTGCACTCGGGGGTCATGTAGCAAGACTACATCACGCTAAAGAATCAAGACAGAAAGTGAGAAAGACGACGTGATTCTGGGATGTGGGGCACGCTCTCGCTTGCCATCTCGGCTTAGGCTTGGCGTCGTGCTAATATATCTTAGCTGTAACCTCGTTTTTTGATGATTTGATTGATTGATTTATAGGGTTTAACGTCCCAAAACCACCATATGATTATGAGAGAGACGAAGGGCTCCAAAAATTTCGGCCTACTGGGGTTCTTTAACGTGCACTCAAATCTGAGCACACGGGCCTACAACGTTTCCGCCTCCATCGGAAATGCAGCCGCCGCAGCCGGGATTCGATCCTGTGACCTGCGGGTCAGCAGCTGAGTAGCTTAGCCACTAGACCACCGCGGCGGGGCAACCTCGTTTCTCTGTGTGCCCACCCGTAACAATATGAAGAACACGCTACAACTAGGGCAAATGCTCTT